GGGAGTTGGGCCTGGAAGGGCAGGTTGTGTATGAGGCTGCCCATGCCAAGATCCTGGGCTCTGGAGTACTTAGGGGCCTGGGGCATGGAGGGACTTCTCTGCAGGCTGGCAGGCAGCGGGGTAGCATTCAGGTTTCCTAGGCTTTGCCCAGCAGCAGAGGAAGAAAAGGGTGTGTCGAAGCTCACCTTCCCTCTGCATCACCTTAGGAGCAGATGTTCTAGGTTTCCACGGATGATTCTGCCAGGAGAGATGCAGGCAGGAAGTCCTTCCTGAGGATGGCTTGGTGGGGGGACGTCTTTGCCAGAGGACTCTCCCTGATCAGGAGAGGCAGCCTCTTTATCTTTTGGGGATATCAGGAGAGAACAAGGCCTCCTGGGGCCCCCAGACCACCATGGGTGAAGTGAAGATAGAATGGGCACTGTTGTGTTTCCTCAATGTCTGTCCTCCTTCCTTGGAGCTGCAATGTTGACTTCCAGCAGCTCTTAGTCAGCTGGATCCTCGGCACCCAGAAGTCCCCAGCAGAGGTGACAAGTTCCCCTTGTCACCACTTCAATAGGAAGACAGACATGGCTGTCTGGAGTTTGCCCGGTGGATTCCTATATCTGGTCCCTGCTGCCTGGGTATCTGTTCAGTCCCAAGCCTCCTGTTCTGGTAAAGCAGGGGTGTGTGGTCAGAGGACTGGTGAGGCAGATCCCCCTTGGATCATCCCATTCCTCTGGGTGGTAGGGGGCTCTCAGGCTCTTCCTCCAGGTTTCTGGGGCCTCCAGATAGCTAGGCTGGCTGCCATGCACTTGCATCCTGACCTGACCCTACTATGTGCCTCCCACTGGGAAGGTAGTATCAGTACTTGGACTTGAACTCAGAGCTTTGTACCCTTGCTTGGCTTTTTCTCTCAGGACTGGAGCCCTACCACTTGAGCCACATTTCCACTTTTGGCTCTTTCCTAATTACTTGGAGCTAAAAGTCCTACACATTTTTTTTGGGGGGGGTGTTCACCGTGGGGCTTGAACTCTGGGCTCTGTCCCTCAGCTCTTCAGCTCAGGGTAAGCACTCTACCGCTTGAGCCACAATACCACTTCTGGTTTTCTACTGGAGATAGGGGTCTCAGGGACTTTCCTGCCCAGGCTGGCTTTGAACCATGATCCTCAGTTCTCAGTCTCTTGAGTAGCAAGGATTACAGGTGTGAGCCACTGGTGTCTGGCAGTCCTACACATTTGTCTGCCCTGAGGCTGGCTTTGAAATAGATTCTCAGATCTCAGACTCCTGAGTAGTTAGGATTATAGGTATGAGCCACTGGCATCCTGCTAAGGTGACATTTTTATAGTGTCCTAAAGGTGATGCACATTTTTCCTATAGTCACCGTCTTATCCCTTTTTTTTTTTTTCTGCTGAGATTCAGCTGAATTATCTCTGAATTGCTACTTGTAACTCTGTCTACAAAGGCCCCAACCGATCAGCTCAGCCCAACCCTTTCTCCTTGAAGACAGAGAAACCACAGCTCAGATGGGCAGGGACTGGCTCAAGATGGACAACTAGCCAGACTGCCTTCTTAGAGGCAGGGCTGGGACTGGGAGGCAGAAGGTGACTGTTGGCAGACATGGGGGGAAATGCCAGAATGTAATTGGGCTCATTAAGCGTTTGCTGAGGGAGCCCTTCATACTTTGCCAAAGGCTGGGCACAGATCTGGAACCTTCTTCTCTACTTATCCATTTGAGAGAAACAGTCTGCTCCTGAGGATCCCCTTTTCCAGAATGCTGTCAAAACAGCCCTTTACTCCAAAGTCCCTTTCTAGCCCATCCTTTCTGGACAGACACTAAGACTCTTGCAGAGGCTGGGATCCTGAAGTACATTCGTCACCCAATCAGAAAGATAGGGAGCGCCTGAGTGCTCCCTCTCTGCCTCCCTTCCCAAGCTCTCCATAGACAGAACACAGACAAGACCAACAGAGGCCCTGGCCTTCCCCAGATCTCCAGCCTTTGTGTGAGGCGTGGCTCCCTGCCATGGTCCAAAACTTCCTCCCTATAGCAGTCTCTGCTCATCTCTCAGAGAAGGAGGAAAACAATGAGATTTATCCTTTCCTTGTGTAAATACCAGACAGACAGGCAGACAGATGCGTCCATGCATGCTTTTAATTTTTTTTCTACTTCTCTCTCTCTCTCTCTCTCTGCTTTCACCATGCTCTTATTCCCAGCTCTACCTCTTCTCCCCCCAGGATGTAGCAATCCACTATCTGGCACCGGCTCATGATAGGAGCTGTACAGCCCTGACCCTCTTCCTAGGATCCCTTCTGTAAATCTGTGAATCCCCTCCCCAACCAGAAATTCCAACCAGGACTTGGCAGGCCTTTAGAAGACGTGGGACAGGGCAGTGGTTAAGGGCTCTGAGTCAGACGAATCTAGGTAAGGTCCAGCCAGAAAACCTTCTAATCTATGGTATAATCACTGAGGTGGATCATAGGTTAACCATAGTGCCTATCACATAAGGTTGTTATGAAGTTGAAAAAAGATCCTATGTGTGAGGTACCTGGGGGATGGTGAACCCACAACAGAGCTGTTATTATAAACAAGAAGTTTGTTTATAATCCTAAGCAACTGGATGGTGAAGAAGGCAGCAGAGAAGCTTCTAGAATCCACTCCTGTGCTTTCTGTTTTATTTGAAGCCAACCCTCTGTCCTGTTCTGGGACTCAATTTCCTTCACTCTCAAATCACCAGGCACCTGTGACCGCACAAAGGGAATGTGTGGATGAGGACGTGTCCCAAGTATAGGTCATGCTGGAGTGAGTCATGTTTTTACTGAGTAGGGGCCAGGGCAGGGGATGGGCGCTAGCCTGCCTGCAATCCTAGCAAGAGTTAGACAGACCCATGTATGCCCTAATACTTGCCCATCCCTCCAAATTTTCTGACTGGGAGTCTTGGCTAGCCAGAGCAGGGTAGCTCTTGAGGGGACAGCTGGGAAGGTTAGATCAGGCAGGACAGGCCACAGCAGGCCCAGAAGTCTGGCTGGGGGACATGATTAGCCCAGGATCTAGGCAGCCCTCTGAGCCCAGAGGCTGTATATCACAGAGGTTTAGTCAGTGGTGTGGCAGATATTTGTCTGTTCTCTTCGGCCATATCCCCGCCTGACTGTCATAAATTGTACTGGGATTTTAAAATATCCCTGTCCCCTTGCTGGCAACCAGGCAAACTCGCCTTGGTGTGGCCAGGAAAGTCTCATCCCTCTGAGGTCTCCACCTGGCTTGGCCCCTGACACCTGCGCCACCCCTTCCATCCGGAGCACCTGGGACCTCCTCCCTGAAGCTGCTTCCTGCTGGGTGGGGGTGGGAAGTCTTGAAAGGCAGATGAATAGCTTTGAGAACCACTATCTAGAGGTGAAAGATATTAACTGTTGGTGGTGGGCAGGGGCTGCCCCTTGGTGCTTCTCATACGGTGGTGGGAGTGATTTCTTGCATGCCCCTGTGCCCTGGCACCGCTCCAGGGGCAGCCTAGTTGCCCTTTCAGTGTGGAAAAGTGGGATGGACCCTGCCCAGGGGGATCTTGGTTTACCACCTCTTACTTTCTCTGTAGATGCTCACTGCGCCACCTGGAAGCCATCACTGGTACTGCAAGGTGGCTATACCACCCTGCAGCAGGCTTGGAACCACACAAAGGTCAGAACCACAGGGTCTAAGATGAGAGTGTGTGTTGTGTAGGCTGGGTTCAGGGCCTAAGTCTCCACACAAAACACCATTGATGCCCTAATACCCAGTGGCCAAGACAGGAGAGAGCATCTGGAGCCATGTGGAGCAGAAGTTGGGATAGCATACTGTCATTATTTGTGAATGTCACCCTGCTGGGTATCAGGGCTCAGGAAGGTTGGGTTTCTGGCCAGTGGCTGCGGTGTCTCCATTAAGTGCCACAGGCCTGTCTGTCTCAGGGTTGACAGTTCCTGCCTCAGGGTAGAACTCTGGCTTCCCGAACTTGCTTAACACCACCTCTGCTGCTGTATCTCCCCCAGGGCCCATCTCTAAGACTCACAGCTCTTTGAGCTTCGCTTCTGTGGGTCTGAGTTCCCAGAGTATAGGCATCCTTCCCTGAAACTGCTGGTTGTTTTTGTTTGTGTTTGTGATTGTGCTGATACTGGAGCTTGAACACAAGGATGTGGACATTGTTTCTGAGCTTTTTTTTTTTTTTTTTTTTTACAAAAAGCTAGTGCTCTACCACAGCCCTACTTCTGGCTTTTTGCTGGTTCAATGGAGATAAGAGTGTCATGAACATTCCTGCCCAGGCTGGCTTTGAATTGTAATCCTCGGCCTCCCGAGTAGCTAGAATTACAAGCATGGTACCTGTAATTCTTGCTTAGCTTTTATCCTACTCAAGTCTGGTACTCTATTACTTGAGCCACAGCTCTATATTCTGGCTTTTTGCTGATTCATTGGAGATAAGAGTCTCAGAGTATTGTTGTTGTTTGTTTGTTTGCTATTCATGAGGCTTGAACTTAGGGCCTGGGTGCTGACCCTGGGCCTCAACCACTTGAGCCACAGTGCCACTTCCAGCTTTTTTGAGTAGTTTATTGGAGAGGAGTCTCCTGGGGTTTTTCTGCCCAGGATGGTTTTGAACCACAATCCTCAGATCTTAGCCTCTGAGTAGTTAGGATTATAGGCATGAGCCAACACCCGGCTTCACAGTGTTTTTTTTTTTGTTGTTGTTATTATTTTTGTTTTTCTAATCCAGGGTTGCTTTGAATCTTAATCCTCAGATCTCAGCCTCCTGATCAGGATTACAGTTATAAACCAACAACAGTGGGCTAAAATTCCTGCATTTCGCTGCTGGTCTATAAGCAGCAGCATAACTCAGTTATACTTCCTTTGGCCATCCTTGGGTTGCAGGAGGTAGATGAAAGCTGGAGGCTTCTCCAGTAATACAATATACCAGAAATCTCCATGTATTGAGCCCCTCCTACACTTTCTTTGTGTTCACAACCACTCAGCCATTGTCTTTGTCTGCCTGTCTATCTACTCAGGAATGAAGCGGCCACTGAGCCCATCTCCCCCAGTTGAGAAGGAGCCTCCTACATCTGGAGCTACTGAGTGCCCTCCTCCAACCCCAGAACCACCTAAACCCAAACGGGAAAGAAAACGGCCCTCCTACACACTCTGTGATGTCTGCAACATCCAGCTGAACTCCGCAGCCCAGGCCCAGGTGCACTGCGGAGGGCGGGCCCACCAGCGGAGGCTGCGACAACTCAGCCTGGGCAAGACGCCCTCAGGCCCAGGTCAGTGTGGAGGGGCGCTGCTCCCATCAACTTGGCTTGAGTCCTACAGGGAAGATTCTCTCTAGGCTCCTCGGAGAGGCTCTGGGTCTATGACTCTTTGGGGGTGAGGATGCCTTTAAAGGGTTTTAGGGTCTGAGGATTCCGAGTTTGGTTTTCTATCTAAATAACCCTTCCATGGGGTGTCTCAGGATTGAGGGTCTTTAGGCCTCGTCCTGAGGTCATTTTAGTTATGGGGGCTTACGCAGTAGGGTTTTTTGGGGGGGGATTTGGACCCTTTAAACAGCATTTCTCTAGCCTGGTGCCCCCTAGCAGGGAGAGACTTTCAGGCAAGGACTTCACCTGTGGGATATCTCAGGCTCCCGCGCTGCCCAGGGTTTACAAGGGCCATAGCACTCTCACTGAGGACTAAGAGGAGGCTCGGCCTCTTCCCTTGTGCACTGGACTCCTGGCCAGGATTTCTGCCTCTCCCTGGTTGGGGTGACTTTGCAGAGGTTTGGCTGCCAGCACTGAGGGGCAGCTGGCTGCAAGGCAGAGTTCTGGGGGAAATGGGTGAATGCACCCATGAGGGTGATGCCAGTTGACAGGCACATGGGAGCCATGGGGAAAGTAAGAAGCCAAACTGCAGGCTGACAGGGGACACAGATTCACAGCAGGCCTGGTGGGGAGGGAGCTGGGAGGCCTCCTCACTTCCCATTCCTGGGGAAGGCTGTACAGACCCAGCTTGCAGGGCTGCTCAGTGGCTTTGCCAGAGGCTGCACTACTCAGCTTGGAGGAGCCTGTGACAAAACCACTGAGCTCAGACACCTTGAGAGCTGCCTTTTCTTTGGGGGACATTCATGGCACATCCACTGTCTCCCCTCCACACACAGCGTGCTGGAGGCAAGAGATCAGCCCAGAGCCTGCCTCTCCTAGCACCACTGCACCCCGAGATTGGGCCTTACTTTGGAGCTGAGCCAGACATGGAAAGAGCAGATGGGTGTTGTGGATACCACGTGCCTCCCTTGGGCATAAAACCTCAGAGGAAGCGGGTGGTGAGCCTGAGAGTATGGACATTCCAGGCAGAGGTCACAGCCCAGGCAAAGGACAAGGATGAAGGGGACCAACTCCTCTACCCAGGCTCTTAGGCTGGACATCAAGGGTGTGATTGAGCGAGAGAGTATCTGATGGTTGCATGTTTCTAAAGCATGTGGTTGGGGGGTGGGGGAGATGTGTGTGGAGGGAATTCAAAAGTCACTCATTCTGCTTGGGGGGTGTGGTACAAGTGGTAGAGAGCCTCCTTCCTACCAAGTGTGAGGCCCTGAGTTCAAATCCTCGTACCACCAAAAATCATCACTTAACTCAATCATCAAATATTTGTTGATAATCTTTAAGACATAAACTACTTGAGGCACTTACACTTTCTTTCTGGTTTGTTTTTTTTTTTGCTGGTCCTGAGACTTGAACTCAGGACCGGAGCACTGTCCCTGAACTTTTTGGCTGAAGGCTAGCATTCTACTACTTTGAGCCACAGCACCATTTCCAGCTTTTTGGTAGTTAATTGGAGCTAAGAGTCTCATGGAGTTTCCTGCCCCAGGATGGCTTTGAACCTCGATCCTCAGATTTCAACTTCCTGAAAAGCTAGATTTACAAGTGTGAGCCACTGATGCCCAGCTGGATTCACACTTTTTTAAGGTATCATAGCTGTGTGTCAAGAAAGAGCTAGCATGTGGGGTGCTGGTGGCTCACGCCTGTAATCCTAGCTACTCAGGAGGCTGAGATCTGAGGATCGTGGTTCAAAGTCAGCCTGGGCAGGAAAGTCTGTGAGACTCTGATCTCCAATTAACCACTAGAAAACTGGAAGTGGCACTGTGGCTCAAGTGGTAGAGTGCGTGCCCTGAGCTGAAGAGCTCAGGAACAGCACCCAGAGTTCAAGCCCCACAACTGACAAAATAAATAAATAAATAAAAGAAAGAAAGAAAGAGCTAGCTAATAACTTTACACATAAATGTGTTTATCCTAAGATAGTAAGAATCTTCATTAGGGTACTTCAAGAAGCCAGAGGAGGCTGTGCCTGGTGGTCCAGGAGGGTTAAGAGTTTGAAGCCAGGCTAGGCAGAGATAGCTTTAGACTCTATCTCAAAAACAAAAGAAAAAAAAATCAAAGGTTAGAAGGCTTGCCAAGTATATACAAGACCTTGGGTGCAATCGTACACCGCCCCCCCCCACAAATTCAGAAAAGGGAAAGATAAGCTGACAATAATAGCTTGGAGAAGAGATGACATTGATGATGGATACTGGAAGGAAGAGGTCCACCCAGGCAGAGACAAAGGCCTGAAAGTCATGGCTTCATGGCTCAGCAGGTAGTGGGTAGAGGGTGGGGCGACCCTGGTGGGGGTGAGCTGGTGATCCTGGGATCCTGGGGCCTTAGTTCCAAAGATCATCACCCTTCCTGAAGTGTTTTGGGCAGGAGTCGTGTTTCAGATACTCCTGGTAAGAGACAAGGCTGTCTTAGGGTTCATGAAAAAGGAAAAATGGTGGCATGGAGAAGCAAGTCCTAGAAGCGTTTGTGTAGCAGAACTGTCAAGATTTGGTGATCCAAGAACTAGAGGGACCAGGGGGAGGAAGTGGCATGGATGACTTTGGCTAGGGCAGTGCTGTGGGTGGCAGCTCTGATCAGTGTACAGAAAGAGGGTGCCAGAAGGAAATCAGGGGCTACTGGACCAGCAAGGGGTGGGGTTGGCTCAGAAGAATCAATGTCTTAGGGGTTACCAGGAAGCATAATGCCTGGTACTCCAATCCAGATGGTTCCATCAGGACTGTTTTAAGTCGTCATCCATCTAGGTATCTCTCCATCTGTCATCTCTAGCTCTGGACTGGCTCCACACAGGATGTAGGGACCCCCTCCTGAGGAGTGCTTGGTGCCTGATCCTGAACAATCAGGCACTCACAGGCTAGGAGGAGGGGTCTTAGACATGGAACCAGACCTTTCTACTGCCCATGCTCTGAGGAATGGCCAGCATCAGGGCAGCATGGCACATCAGAAGGGCCTCAGATTTTGAGTAACCCCAAATTCTGGCCTCTCTGCAGGGAGCACCTACTCTCTCCATTGGTCTGGTTAATTCTGGGCCTATAATGGTCCATAACCCCCTGCCATGGTGTCTCCCCCGCTGCCCTTGGCTGTCTGAGACCAGGCAATCCCAGCAGGAAGATGCTAGCAAATACCCATAGTGGGAGTTGAGTGAGGAAAAATGGAAGAGAGTGGCAGTGGTCCTGAATATGGGTTCTAGTCAGGTCCAGTATAAGGATTAGACCAGCATGCCATGCCCCTTTCAACAAAGAGCAGAGGACCCTCAGGGGAATGAGGACTGGAGCTCCTGCAGAAATGGAAATACGGACCCATGCCTAGTTCAGGGGGGGCCTGGAGCCCTTAACACACCTTTTCATTCCTAGACACTCGTGGTCTGAGGCTCCATACCACACAAGACAAAACATCCCAGCTCTGTGGCAGCCAGGACTTGTGCCCTGGGAACTGTCACTTTGATTAGGGGCCATTTGGGCTAGAGGCTTCTGCAGCGACAGGAGTCACAGGCAGTGAGGCAGAGAGACTGTCTGTGGGAGGGAGACATGGAGGGGGATGTGCGTGGCTCTTCCTTCTCTGGGCAGGGACCAGAAGCATCCTTCCTCAGCTACACCCAGCTCCTGAATTCTCACTCCCAGCCCTGAGTGAGCCTGGGATGTTTGAAGGGGTCCGAAGTGGGAGAACTAGTGGGTATCCCACCCCATACTTTCCTATCTCCTCCCCTCATTCCTTTTATTCTTCAGGAATGAATTTTGCACCTTCTTTTACCCCATCTCAAGGTGGGGAGTGGGGGGTGGTGGGGGAATACCCAAAGTAAGGCTGATCCTATTGACCATTATACCCTGGGAAACCCCTAAGTGCTTCTTCAGTGTATGCAAACAGATGAAGTTACTGGGCCCAGACTTTATGGCTTTGACTTCTGATGGGTACCTAGTCCAGGTGCTATGACCACCCCTCCCCCCCTGCCCCCAAACCTGTATCAAACAAACTAAACCATTTCTTCACACACATCAGGACAGAAGCTCCCACAGCAGGACACCCTGGGGGCCTAGCAGGTGGTGACATTCAGTTCTCACTTTGGGAATACTGGGGCTCCTAGCAGGAAACATACACAAGGCCACACTGCTTGGGTGAAAAGCCAGGTGTCTCTGACTCTTTCTCGGAATCCTCCACCTCTCCCCACCCTGGCAGGCCAAGGAGAGCAGCTAAGAGACTGACCCACAGCACTTGGAGAGCGAATGGGGATGGGGTGGCCCAGAGAATAGAAGCTGGTGTCCATCATGACGATGCCACAAGTGCTGGAGACCCATAGCCACTCCTCTGTCGTGCACCTTCCGAACTGAAAGGGGGAGGGGGAACCCGCAACCACAAGTGGGGAGCTGCTAGCCATCTCCAGCCTCTTCAGGTGGCTAGGGTGTGGAAGGAGAGCTTCCTAAGTCCAACCTTTCTCTCCCTGACTCTTGGCAGGATTAAGTCAGCCATCTAATTTAGAGCTGACCCAGTCCTGTCTCCCATCATCCCTTGCCAACCTGACACCAAAAGGAGAGGCGGGGACTTTAGAAATGAAATAAACTGCCTGGCGCCAGTGGCTCACGCCTGAAATCCTAGCTACTCAGGAGGCTGAGATTTGAGGATTGGGATTCAAAGCCAGCCTGGACAGGAACGTCCATGAGACTCCTATCTCCAATAAACCACCAGAAAACCGGAAGTGGCGCTGTGGCTCAAGTGGTAGAGCGCTTGCCCAGGCCCAGAGTTCAAGCCCCACACCCACCAAAAAAAAAAAGAAAGAAAGAAAGAAAGAAAGAAACTTTGGCTGACTGAAATGGCCAGAGGCACCTTGGGTGGGAAGTACAAGGCAGATGGTAGGGAGGATGGGAAAGCAGAGATGGATCAGACTATAATGGACTCCAGACATAGCAAAGATGGCAAGCTGTTGTGGTCAG